TTATCTCTAAGTTTTGAGGTTGAGAGATAGAGGCCAGAGCAAGATACAGGCAGGAATTAGAGCACATCGGATTTCTATATCATACTAAGGCTTCTGGGGTCTTAGCCTATACCTAATATAAAGTCATTGAAGGATTTTATTCACGGAAGTAACATTTGTTGTTTTAGAAAGACCTCTGGCAGCAGTAAGGACAACAGGATGGGGCAACTCAAGATTGAAGGCAGAAAGAACAACTCCGATAGAAATGAAGAAGTTTAAGCAAGAAAGGATAAAAGTCTGAAAACAGACTTTCCATTAAAATATGGAAACAAGATAGGAGCTATAAGACTAGAGATGAGAAGAAAGAGTATCAAAATGTTAAGAAGAATTCATGGGGGTGCGTGGGTGGCTCAGTTGGTTAAGCAACTGCCTTCAGCTCAGGTCATGATCCTGGAGCACTGGAATCAAGTCCCACATCGGGCTCCCAGCTCCACGGGGAGTAATCTTCTCCCTCTAGTCTTCTCCTCTCTCATGCTCTGTCTCTCTCTCAAATAAGTAAATAAAATATTTTAAAAAAATAGAATTCATGGATCTTGGTGACTGAAGGGACACTAAAAGGAGAAATGGGAGTTTAGAATATGTTTCAGATTTCCAGTTATGTAGCTGGAGGAGGAGAGGCTTCATCAAGTTGGGCACTTTAGGAGAAGAAGCAGGTCTGCATGAAAAGACAATTTGGTTTGGAACATGTTAAGTTTTTGTTGCCTTTGAGATCACAACATATAGTTGAAGATATATTTTTGAAACTCAGGGAAGAGGTTTGAATCTCACTGAAATATAGATTTAGAATTTGCATATATGCAGTCTCAGACATAGGTGGAAAATAAGAGACTGAAATCTCAGAAGCACAGGGAAAAAGAGTTCTAAGAAAGAAAATGATCAAATTTAAGGACACAACAGAGACCAAAAATTCTACACCAACTAGATCACAAGTGTTCTTTGGTAGAATAGCTTCAATAGAGTGGAAAAGTGAATTACTGTGAGTCAGTTAAAAACAGACAAGTAAATAAATAATTGAGTGTCTACTCTGTGCCAGAAACTGTGCTAGGACTAGGGAATATTAGTGCAGAAAACCAATAAAACCCTCATAGACTTTACAGCCTGGGGAGAAATATATATTAAATAATTAGAAATTCAGAAATGGAAAGGATAACTTTTTTTCAAGACTCTCAGCTATAAAAGAAAGAAGGAATTAACAAAAACAGGGAAATTGTTTTATTGCTTTTTTCTTACAATCTTTATACATTGTGACAAAAGTACTAGAAGTTGAAACTCTAAGACAAAATGAATAACCAATAAAACAATGTCCTAATAGGTTAGCCATAGTATCCCCACTGCAGGAAATATCCTCCCTTCTCCCCATCTAGATTTCATTTCATACCCATTCTCCATATCTACCTAACTTCTTCAAGTTCATACTTCAAGATTAAGCTGAACTGAAAAGCCACCCAAGTGAGCATTCCTGACACTTTTATCCCTGGCTTCCACAAACTGGGTCAACTGCCCTTTTCTCTGTATATCCTTCTATTGTTGTATAAGTAGGATATATGTTTTTAGCTTTTAATAACTTTTTTAAAATTAGGAAATGAATATATACTTAATAGATTCAAAAATCACAATAAAGATGAAATAAGGAGAAAAAAAAGAAACAAAAATTGCTCAGGTGGACTATTTAAATAGACACCCACATAAACATATTCACTATTTAGACATCTACTTCTTTAGTGTTTTCCCTAGAACATAGAGTAATTACTCACTGTGACAAGAGAGGATATCCAAAATAACTCACTGATAAGTTAAAGAATTTAAGTCTATTCTCTCATCTTAGATGCCCCTAAAATGTACTTCTATCCTATAGATAATTTATCCCAACCAGAAATTCCTCAGGAATGTAAATATAACAAACTACATTGGATTGAATATATACATTTTTATCTGCTCCCTCCTAAAATTGCACTAAAAATGACAAAAGGACAAGTGTTTTAAAATCCACAAAGAAAGAGAATGTTGGGACACCTGGGTGGCTCAATCATTAAGTGTCTGCCTTTGGCTCGGGTCATGATCCCAAGGTCCTGGAATCGAGCCCCGCCCGCATCAGGCTCTCTGCTCATCGGGAAGCCTGATTCTCCCTCTTCCACTCCCCCTAGTTGTATTCCCTCTCTCTATGTCTCTCCCTCTCTCTCTCTCTCTCTCTGTCAAATAAATAAATAAAATATTTTTTAAAAAGAAAGAAAGAAAGAGAATGTTAGAGGAGACAATAACAGATGACAGCAGAGACATATAATGAAAGCATGGAAAAATGAAAAGCAGATGAACATGTGGTAGCTGACTACTCAGAACAAAGAAAGCTAAAACACAAGTAACTGCTGAAAGAGACACCAATAAGAAGCAACTCCAGAAATTCTCAGAAATCGAATTCAATACTGAAGGCTACAATAAAGACAGGGCTGCAAACAAGCAAGCTGGTTGACATTTTACATCAGAAGCACTTAGACACCTAAAATCGCCTCTCCTATTCTGAGCAGTCGGGCCAGTGCACTTCTCTCCCCTAAGCATGGAAAGCAAGACTACTCTGAAGAATCTACCAGATCGGCTCTGGACCTTGAGGCAGCAGGGACTAAAAATAGAGTGATTAAGTAAAAGTCTACATACTGAAGTGGGAGACTCAACATGAACCCCTACTCTACCTCAAATTCCAGCACATTATTAGCTAGACTTACAGCTTTCCAAAAGGGACTGAAGGATGCCACTCTGGAAACTTTGGGGTAAGTCCCAAAGAAAAGACCTATAGTTACCGACATTGCAGAATCCCCAACAAAAGAGCCAAATGGCTACCACGCTATAATGAAATCCACTGTATACAGCTACTAATCAGCTTTCTATGGTTTCATTCTTAAATATGATAAAAGGACTATTCAGAATCACCACACATTTTAGAAATACCTCTAACATGAAAGAAAGCAAAACAAACAAAAACATTCAACTTAAATAAAGAACCTCCAGGAAGCAGATAAAAATAATCTTAGAAATAAACATAACAGTCTTAAATAAATAAAACATGGCATAAGATCACATACAACCAAATGTGAGAATACGATAAAGGTATTTGTCTCCTATTATTCTCAGAAAGCCATATGAGTAAAATAAGGGATTAACCAGCTAAAAATAAAGTGACAAGATCCAAAAAATAATGCAGAGGCAAAGAAAATTCACAAGGTAATGAAGCTTCACCATTAACACTGTGAAACAGGCTAAATAAGCAAAAGTGCACACTCAGTGAAGAAGATAGAGGGCTCTCTAGAGGGAATGCCTTCAAGGGCAAAAACCAGAACTGACAGATGATCTAATAAGAAGAATATGTATGGTTTTGTTTGAAAGCTCAAAAAAGAATTGATGATAAATATATAGGAAGTAAAGCAAAAGAGAAAAATAGATAATTATTAAGTCTAGGAAAAACACAAAAATTTGTACAAGAAAGGAAGTATAATTACAGCATATCACATAGCTTAGGGATAGGCAGTATTTACAGAGTCATAATAATATAAATTCTAAAATCTAACTTAAACTGAAATTGTGATATAGTAGAAGGATGAAAGAAGAGAAGTTCTGTGTGTTTGACAGGATGGGGAAGACAGACAAGGGGTGGCTGGGAGGTTGGTGAGTGAGTAGCAAATCACCATCTTCCAGGGTAGGAATTTAATAATACCTCAAATGGAAAAAATCAACAAATAGTTGCATTAAAATTTCATTTAAATGAGGTAAGTATAAAAACAAACACACAAAAAAATTTAAAGACAATCTGTGGAGGACTTTTTTACTATTTGACTTTAACCAAATATACCTATATTTGCTTTGCTAAAAATAAAATGTTTTTAAAAATTATCCGCTATCTTAGAAGAAATAGCCAGCCAATACATTATTTGAAAGTTCAGAAGATGTCACTGATATTGGCTATAAAGCATATTCAAAACCCTCTTCCAAATTTACTTTCTTGTAATGGATATCCATAAAGACAGAGGATGCAATTCAGAATAAAATCCTGAGAAACAAATTCTTCTTTGAATCTTAAAATGAAAAGAAATTTCATGAAATAAGATACAGTGATTAAGAGAATGGGTTCCAAGTTCAGAACTGAGTTCAGATCCCAGTTCTGCTACTTAAATAGCAATGTGAGGTAAATCACTTAAGTCTCAGAACTTCACTTTCTTCCTCTATAAATTGGGTGTTTATACTATATAAACCTATAATGTAAGGTTGTTGTAATGATCAAATGATAATCCCCATAAAGAGCCTGACACATTAAAAAGTGTTCAATAAATACCAACCCTTTCGTATGCTTTAGCATACCAACCAAATGGCAATGATCTACCATGACTGCTAACATATACAGCTCATTTCTGCACCCCCAAAATTAATCACAAAATTACTCATCATCCAATATGTGTACATTATAAATGGAAGTTTATCAGATAAGAAAGAATCTCTTACTTCTAATATCATATAAAAACAAATTTCATATAAACCAGAGATTTACACCCAAGAAAATGGAAAAAAAAGTAGCAAGAAGTAGAATATAGATTTTATCATATCTTTGTCAATTTCCTCATTCTGAATAGGTAGAGGTTTCCTTTAGTACTAACTACAAATTTTAAAGAAATTATCTATTCAGTCACGTCCAGTCCTCCAAAATCTATTTCTTCCAGATAAAGACAAATAGCCCTCTTCTCTAGTCAAATTTCATGTGAACATGCCATTTGACTTTGGCAAAAATTTTAGAATCAAAGATAGGCAGAAGTAGGGAGAAAAGTCATGAGATTATAATTTATTCATCTAGATATTGTTTCTTTCCTTACTATTGATGTTTAGTCATTTCAATAGCTCATATAGTCAAATCTACATCTGATCCTGTAAAATTTTAAAGACAGATTAATAACACACATTTGCAATTTATGAAAAGTCATTACCTTGGATTTGGTACTTCTCCAAGAATCTCATCTAAATTGTCAATGAAGTTAATAAAATTAGACAGTCCTTTTACATGTGCCCTTAAAGGATCAGATGGTGATGGTGCATATCCCTTCCCTCCAAGCTCCAGTGTTCTAATAAATGATGTGGCCACCTATGAATTAAAATAAATGATTCAGTTATGTTTAATGATTTAGTATGTTAAAAATAAAACTTTATGAAACTGGGTACATTTATATTATTTCTGGGTATACAGGTAAAGTAAGCACTTTTTATGATTCATGTCACTTTGATTCAGAAGCAAATAATTAAACAAACAGATGCCATGCAAAATTCAGGCCAAAAAGGGTGATGGCAATGCGAGTGGAAACTGAGAAGCCAAGTAAGGTGACAAACTAAGGGCATAAGAATACATTCATAGGGACACCTGGGTGGCTCAGTGGGTTAAGCCGCTACCTTCGGCTCAGGTCATGATCCCAGGGTCCTGGGATCGAGTCCCACATCAGGATCTCTGCTCTGCGGGGAGCCTGCTTCTCTCTCTGCCTCTGCCTGCCTTTCTGCCTGCTTGTGTGCCCTCTCTCTCTCTCTCTCTGACAAATAAATAAATAAATAAAATCTTAAAAAAAAAAAGAATATATTCATAAGAGTGTATCACTGATTATAAAATATTAGTGTATGTATACTACATTATACTATGTAGTATACTACATATACTAGATTGTATACTACAATCTATATTCTCATATAGATTAAACTGGAATTTTTAATATGAAACAAAGGGTTTTTCAGGGTCAACTGTGTTGATTTATTCAAGGGTAGGCAATTAATTCAACTCTTCCAAGCTTTATCTTCTTTATTTATAAGCTCAACATTTAGACTAAATAGAACAAAGCCCTATCTAGCTTTCACATTTTAGGATTATTTGATCATGTGTAGTTCAAAAGGCCTTGCCTTACCATAACAAAAATACATATAGGATGGCTATACTTAAGAGTAGCTCCAACAAAGATGAAATACTTTAAAGTGTATCCTAAATTCTATGAAATTTCAGTAATTTGTTAGAAAGTTCCAAGGTTAAATAACGTAGGAAACAACACATTAAGTAACAAGGTTAACTTAAGCAGATTTCTTAATGGTAAGACTTCTCAGAGCTTTTGATATACAAATATGCATTACATATCTACAATAAAGGTAATATTTCCAATAAAGGTACTATTTCCAAACTGTTTGCCCTTGGAAACATCTTATTCAAGGAGCACTTAACAGGGACTTTTGCCTTTGGAAATATTTATCCAAGGAGAACTTAACAGAGATACCACTCTATAAAACACATGTCGGAAAACATTGCTTTAGAGAAATTTTCTCTTATCAAATTTGAAGAATATGGTAATAAATAACAATACCATAGGTTTTCAAATACAAGAAAAGAGCATATATTCAGAGTTTAAAAGTTGTTTTATCATAGCTAAAAGAATTCTATATTAAGGTACATATATCTACTGTTCATAAGTCTTTAAAACATATTGAAAATGTAACATGTCCATACCAAAAAGATAGACATCTTTTTCTCTTGAGCGGCATGTTTCAAATCAGTGAAGGCTTCTCTTCCAAGTCCTCTATCAGGAATATTGAGAACATGAGCCAGAGCCAGGTCATTCTTTGAATTCACAAGCAGGCTTAAATATGAGTAGATAATTTTTCTTGCTAGTAACTGCACCTGTACAAAAAAATATCATTTTCTTTATTGAAGTTGTTCTAAATCAATAATCTTTTCTTCATACACAGTAAAATACTTATGACTATTCAATAACAATATCTCACTTAACTCTATGGGAAAAGAGAAGACTACCATACAACAAAAGATTGAGTTGGACAATTAACATATCCCTGCTCATGAAACAAATGTGCCACTAGTAAGTAAGTATGAGCAAATAACAACGATCATAATTGTTGAAAAATACCTCTTAAAAATGATATAAAGGATAAAGTCCAAAGTCTGAATTTCTAATAAGGCTGAATCTCATGCCCTTGTACACATCTGTCACTAAATAACAAGGAGAAATGAAGTCTCTTAAAGCTTACGGAATAGGCTGACTGGCACTATTTGGTCCTATACCTACACAGGGCTGGAGACAAGGGCTGAATTTAAATGGTTAAATTTGGTGGTAATTATTAGATGCTGACTTTGACAATACCAAATAACCAAGTTAAGTCTTACAATGAACAAATTCAAGCAAGTGTTAAGAAAATAACAACAACAACAAAGGAAAAAAAGAAAATAACAAGTAGTTGATGTTGACATGGTTCTTTCATATATTCTATACTTGTCTTTTATGGTCAAGGGCATTTTACAAACCAAGGCATTCAATGATCTTATTCTTAAAATTACCTACTTATAGCTATTTAGGGTCTTGCAAATTCTAGTATTGAGCAAGTGATACTGTGAACTCCCACAGGTAACAATAAAATATTAGTAAAATTTCAAAAACATAACTATACTGGAAAGTATACACAAAGCAGACCCAAGCTAGAGGAGAATTTTATTTTAAAAGAACTGCAAGGGGCGCCTGGGTGGCTCAGTGGGTTAAGCCGCTGCCTTCGGCTCGGGTCATGATCTCAGGGTCCTGGAATCGAGTCCCGCGTCGGGCTCTCTGCTCAGCAGGGAGCCTGCTTCCCTCCCTCTCTCTCTGCCTGCCTCTCTGTCTACTTGTGATCTCTCTCTGTCAAAGAAATAAAATCTTTAAAAAAAACAAAACAAAACAAAACAAAAAAAAACAAAAAAAAATAAAAGAACTGCAACAAGAAGGGTTAAGAATAGCAAGTTTGTGGTTATTCAAGGCCCTAAACTTCCTGTGGAGAAGTGAGTGATCATATGAACCTCACAGAAAACAAACATAAAACAGTAAATAAAACAATCTTAAATACTATTTAAAGACAATGGAAAGTATCTAGAAGGTAGATAGGAGCTGGAGAAATATTTAATTTTAGCAGAACTGCAATAAGAAGGGAATGAATTAGGCGTGTCTGGGTGGCTCAGTCAACTGACATCCAACTTCTGATCGCAGCTTAGGTCATGATCTCAGGGTCATGAGTTCAAGCCCCACTCTGGGCTCCATGCTGGGCATGGAGCCTACTTAAAAAAAAAAAAAAAAAAAAAAAAAAGCATGAATTAAGTTTGTGGTTTACTGACTCAAATTTCATGACTATAGCTGTGGCAGATAGAAGTGACTATAATGGTGCCCTCAGAATACAAGGCTGGGAAAGCAGCTAGAAATTTAAAGGGGAAAATCTTGGACATAATTGAGAGCATAAAGAGCCATAATCCATAGCTGACAGCAAAACTACACAAGCATGGGGGAGACTCCGCAGGTCCATCAAAAACACAGGCAGAAATAAGAAAGAAATACATTCAAGAAAGACTGAGCTACAAGGAACTAGAGCTATGAGTTGGAAGGTTTGCTAAAATGAGTACATTCCTCAACTGTGTGTAGCTTAAGTCACAGAAAGCTGAAGCTGGACAGGCTTGAAGTGTTAAGAGTACAGAGCCAAAATTTGTCAGAACAACTGGAAAACACAGGAAAATCCCAGGAAAAAAGAATCCATGGAAAGAATGAGCTCCATACTTTCCCAAATCCTTGGTTTACTTGCCACGTTTGGCAGGCAGAAGAAAGACCTACAAAAGCCAACCAAAAAAAAAAAAAAAAAAAAAAAAACCAGCAAAGGAAAACCATAAGAATAGATATCCAAAAAGCTTCATACCAAGGAGACAAAATATGAAGTTGAAATCCAGGCAAGAAAACTGCCTACTGGAATAAAAACTCAATTGTCTTCAGAAGAACATGACAAAACCCAGAATCACTATAAAATAATATCTGTAATGTCGTTTTTGTCTAAAAATTACAAGACAGTTCAAAAAAAAAGTGTTACCCCCTCTCAGGATAAAAAGCAGTCAATAAAAATTAACACCAAGTGGACCTAGATACTAGATTTAGCAGACAAAACTCTGAAGTTGCTGCTATAAATATATACAAAGAACTCAAACCAAAAAATGTTCAATAAATTAACAGGGGAAATGACAACAGAAAAGTGGACATTATAAAAAAAGTAAATTCTAGAAATGAAAAGTACAAAGACCAAAACAAAATTTGATAAATGGGCTCAACAACAACTTGGAGAAAGCGGAAGAAAGTATAAGTGAACTTACAAATATATAAATAGAAATTATTAAACCAGAAAAACAAAAGAAGAAAAAAGGAAAGAAAAATAAAACCAAAGAGCTCTGTGGGACATGTATTTAGAATCCCTGCAGAAGAGTGAAATAAGCAGAAAAAAGTATTTCATGAAATTATGGCCAAAAACATCCCAAATTTGGTGGAAAACATTACTTTATAGATCTAAGAAGCTACTAAAGTAGGAAAAATACAAAGAATATCATTCCTGTTCTATAATTAAACTCTGACAGCCAAAGATGAGAAAAAATCTTGAGAGTAACGAGAACAAAATGACACACAACATACTAAAGAATAATGGTAATAACAAATCATCAAAAAGCCAGAAGACACTGGAACAACGTATTAAATAGGCTGAAAATGATCTTAAATATTACTGTATAGTCAAAATAATACAGCATTTATGAAGGGACACTCATATCAATGAAACAGAACAGAGTCCACAAATAGACCTAAAAGATACAGCCATTTGATTTTTGACATAGGTGCAAAAGCAACAATGAAGAAAGGACACTCTTTTCAATAGTTAGTGTGGGAACAACTGGTCAGCCATATGTGAAACAAATGAAACTCACCGAAACCTCACACTTTTTTCTTTTTTTTTTTTTTTTTAAGATTTTACTTATTTATTTGAGAGAGAGAGAGGGAACATGAGCAGGGGGAGGGACAGAGAGACAAGCAGACTGCCCGCTAAGTGGGGAGCCCAATATGGGGATAAATCCCAGAACCCTGACATCATGACCCGAGCTGAAGTCAGACACTTAACTGACTGAGACACCCAGGTGCCCCAACCTCACACTTTTTATAAAACTTAAAGCAGATTATAAGTTTAAATGTACAATATATAAAACTGTAAAACTTTAAGAAGAAAACGTAAGAAAAAATCCTTATGACTTGGAATTAGGCAGAGTTATTACACGTGACATCAAAAGCACAATCTATAATAGGAAAAAATTGATAAACTGGATTTCATCAAAATTAAATTATTTTAATGGAATTCTCATCACCTTCTCAACTACTTCCACCCCATTTTCTTGATCTGAAATCTTGTTGTATATAATTCTTAAGTGTTGATCCCATGCTATCTACCTGAAATACTCTCCTTGCCTATTTCCTTAGAAAAATGAACACTACATCAAAAACTAATGATGTATTATATGCTGGCTAATTGAACATAGTAATAAAAAAATAAACAAATTTAGAAATAATTTAATGAAAAAAAAATGGACTCCACAAATTCTAAACTCAATTCATTCTCAAAACTTGAAATTCAGTAAGTCCTTCAGTGACTGACAACTTAGCCAAAGACCCCATAATTTATCATCTATAATTCTAGGAAAATATTTTCCTAATTAAAATTAAAATGTTTTCATATTGTTTAACTACATTTTAGAAAGCATTAAGAGAGATTTAAAAGGTAGCAATAAAAATTATAAATTATTAGGAAGTCTCTGAGACAATTATTAATAAAGTCTCAAGTTCATAGATGTATTATTACAAGCACTTTTAAAGGCTTGGGGCGCATGGGTAGCTCAGTTAAGCGTCCACCTTCGGCTCAGGTCATGATCCCAGGGTCCTGGGAATCCAGCCCAGCATCAGGCTCCCTGCTCCACAGGGATCCTATTTCTCCCTCTCCCACTCCCCCTGCTTGTGTTCCTTCTCTGGCTGTCTCTTTCCCTCTGTCAAATAAATAAATAAAATCTTTTAAAAAAATTAAAAAATAAAGGTAACATGCTTTTGGATTATTTAAATTTCTCAAGAAAAACAATTCTTGAAATACGGGAGGCAGTCAGGGTCAATTTAAAAAAAAACTTTATTGTATAGGAAAAGGTTACCTTAAATATGGACTTGAAATTTAAGCAAAATTGATTTAAAAAAAAAAAACTTAAATATTAATCCTCTAAAGTTTTTTTCTTAAATATTAAAAATATGAGACAAATGTTACCTTTGCAGAGAGGCAATTTGCAGAGAGTAATTCATGTACTCCCTTTCTTATTACCCTCTTACACCTAAGCCTATCAGGCAATTATAATTCCCTGCATAGATCTTAATGGTTTCTGATGCTGTGTATTTTCTTAATCTTTCTACTACTTCATGAGTTCCAGGAGAGCAAATGGTGTGCCCTTAGAGCCTAAAAGAATGACTGGCATTATAGTATGTAATCAATCCATTTTTGTTAATAGGTTCTCAATTAGTTTTTGTTCAATGATAAATGAAAAAAACTTAATACATGTACTTGGCTCTTTTAGAAATTTCAGAATGAAAACTATTGATAAAAATTTATTTCAGGGGACGCCTGGGTGGCTCAGTTGGTTAAGCAGCTGCCTTCGGCTCAGGTCATGATACCGGCATCCTGGGATGGAGTCCCACATCGGGCTCCTTGCTCGGCAGGGAGCCTGCTTCTCCCTCTGCCTCTGCCTGCCATTCTGTCTGCCTGTGCTCGCTCTCTCTCCCTCTCTCTCTCTGACAAATAAATAAATTTTTTAAAAAATCTTTAAAAAAAATTAATTAAAAAAAATTTATTTGGGATCTATTAAGCACTCACATATTTGTATTACATTGCCTTAAAAAGAAAATTACTTCAAGTTACAACTAAATCAAAATCATCTTAAAGATCCACCCTAAAATTTTATAACTTAAGGCATTATATAATTTTCCACTTAGATTTCAACTGTCTTTTTATCTTTACTTTCAGTGTAAATCATAATATTTCGTGTGAAATCTATAATACAGAAGTTTCAACTTCACAGTACGATAGTCTAAAACATATGAATCTCCTCTTTATCTTAACCCTTCATGTTTCAAAAGAGTAACACATTTCATGAAAAATCAAAAGGAAGAAAAAAAACGACATTCACATTGTAATCAGAAACTTTTTTACTCTTTCTACACTTAATTTCATTGAATCCCTATTTTACTGTGCTTTTGCTGTCCAAAAATAATGAGAATTTACCAAAATGTATATATCTGATCCTTACTGGGTATCAATGAGGGCTTAAACCCCATCTACAACTTGCTTTTTAAGGCTAGCAAATTCTGCCCTTCTGATCTATAATGCTAGACAAACATCGGGGAAAAACATCTTGGAGTCCCCACAGTTAAGAGTGTTTCTTTTAACTCATGGCTGCAACTGGAAATCTATCCCCATCATTATGGTCATATAACATGGTAGTTATGGTTTCCCTGCTCTTGTATTTGCAAGTGTGTTTTAAAGAGGCTCTCTGGAAAAGCATTCCACATAAATACAGTTATGATATCCAGAAGCAAGGGCCTAATTGAAAAAATCCGCAAGATTGAAGCTTTTACCAAGATACCAAAAATAAAGATAATGTTCTGTTTATTTATTTAATAAACTGATTCAGTCCATACCGCAAAGTATTTGCAATGTTTGTTTAGAAGTTGAACAATTTTATTTAAGCTTTCTGGCAATTCCAAGTTTCTTTTCCTATTCATTAATTATTACTGAAATGTAGATATTCAATCTCAATTTGAAGAATGTCAGTTTTTTTAGATTGAGATTAATAATTTATACCGCTATGTTTTTACTTTCTTTACCAAACACATAAATTCTTAACATAAAATGACCAAACAAGCAAAAAAAAAAAAAAAAAAAGAGTTGAGCTAAAACTAATATAGCAGTAGAAATTTTTATTTAACTGATGATTTTCTTTTAGGGCTTTTATTCCATTTTTCCCTTCTTTACTTCAGAATTTCTAAAGCAGTTTAGTACTTTAGGAAAAATAAAATAAGGAAACAAAAATATTGTTTCTCAAACTCATGCCATTCATCTACTTGATGACTCTGGTGTGGCATTAGCAAGGTACATTTTGTGATCAAAATATATCTATGCAAGACTTCAGCCCAAAAAGTCACTTTGGAATTTTAGTAGAAATATATTGCCTTCCAAAAATACTTTGCAAAAAGAAAAATTAGAAGTCTGCAAGTAACAAAAAAATAGTTGAGAGGATGACTGCTACTTTAATAGTCCTCATAAAATCTAATCTATCGGCTAACTAGTAGGTAGAATACTCTTAAAAAACAATCCAAAGAGGCAAGAGATAAAAGTAGAGGATTAACACAATGAAACTATCACTGTTTTTTTTTTTAAATGAGAAAACTATATCCTTGCAATGAAGACCCATTAGTTTCTATATGCTATACTCTTTTTTCATGGATATCCATTTATGACAACATTTTATAACTGTAAGCCAAAATTATAAACACCTAGGTATTTTACACATACAAATTCATTCATTTCTCGTAAGGACACAATAACAATTAATGCTTCCTCCCTATAGAGCCTGTAATATAAATCAGAGAGAAGAGATTTGTAAGTGATATACTCTCTTGATATATGAATGCATCTCTTAAGTACCAATGAGAAAAGACCAGGCATTTGGTAAACATTTTATCAATATTTGGCACCAGAGGAAAAAAATAATGGAAGTGAAAAATTAACTTCAACTAAGAGAAAATAGGTACAAACGACTGAAGGGAATCACATCCGGGCAGAAAACGTTCTAAGATGGACTTGGAATATTTTATTATACCAGAAAAAAGGGAAGTGCTCAGAAGTCTAATAGGGCATGTAAAAAAGACACAGAAGCTTGAACAGAATCCCTCCATTTTAGCATCAAAGGTTAATGACTGTAATTAATTTTAAAACTGAATAAAAATTCATGAGTCCACAGCAATAAATACATGCATAAGGACAAAGATAAACAGAAAAAGATGTAATTTGCATCTATCTTATAAATAACTATTATCCCAGCTCCTAAACTGGTAATGAAAGAGAAAGAATTGGGGCACCTGGGTGGCTCAGTGGCTTAAAGCCTCTGCCTTCTGCTCAGGTCATGATCCCAGGGTCCTGGGATCCAGCCCCACGTCGGGCTCTCTGCTCAGTGGGAAGCCTGCTTTCTCCTCTCTCTCTCTCTCTTTGCCTGCCTCTCCACTTACTTAAATCTCTGTCTGTCAAATAAATAAATAAAATCTTTAAAAAAAAGAGAGAGAAAGAAAGTATTAAGTCGTGACTCTGCCATTCCTAGGGAACTATTTCCCTAAATAGCTTTATCTTATCAAGCTCTGCTTTACTGAGAAATGGCAACTAATTAATGTAAAGACATGATAGAGTTAGAATCTCACCATTTTGCAAACACTAAAGAAATAACTGATTCAGACAAGGATCATGAACATATGTGTAAAACCACTGGGTGAAAAGTTGCTGCAAAACAGCATATTTACACAGTGTCACCCCACAGATTTCTGTTCACAGCAAAGGGAAAACTACATCTTTATCCTAGAGAGATCTGGCAATTTGGGACAACTTGAGTTTGTGTCTCTTAATACGATACCATCAGTTATAAAGTACTAAACTTGAATCTAAGCAAGCTGTTGCATAAAACTTCCAGTTTACTGGAAATAGAAGAACAAAATAAATAATTCCAGGAGAACTTAAACACATAAATAAGAAGAGAAAAAGACCGAGGGGAATTCTCCTAGATTAAAAATCTAAAGAGATATAAAACCATTTGGAGGACAAATGGAGAAATCTGAATAGGGAAGACAGTACGTGATATTAGGGAAAATTAAGTTTTCTTATATATGATAATGGTATTATGTTAATGCTTCTATCTTTGGGAAATGATATGCTAAAGAAGTTTAGGATTAAATACCATGATGTCAGAAACTTACCTTTCAAATTCGGCAAAAAAAATATTAAATGCAGATATTCAAGCATGTTAGTAAGTCTAGGAAGTAGGTGCACAGGTATTTATTTGAGGGCAGTGACAAATATATTTCTTAAAATGTGATCTTTGTAGCATGGGACTTATGGGAGAATCTGCCTTAGCAATGTTTCCTTAAAAATGAAGAAGGTGATTGTCAAACTGAATAAAGAAGATAGATTTTGATATGTTGAATGCAATTTTACTGCTTTTTCCAATACTCAAATTTTTATCTTGTCAATAGTGATTTTATTTACCATAGAAAATTCCATAAACATAACCCCCATGGTTATTAAGGGGTTACTATATTTAATTAGGTACCTAGCATAGCATTTAACTTAAGGTAAATTATATTAGACCAAACCTGTGGTTTGTTTTCTATGGTTTGTTTGCATAACAAACTCTATTATCACAATTTGTGATGCATCAGTTATCTACTTCAAAGGTGACGGAATAGAATTTTCAATTGTACATAACCTCCCAAGAAACATTCATTTAAAACCATAAGCGAAATTTGCCAAATACAAAGATTCAAATAACTCTGGCAACTTAGACCTTCTAACTACTTTACAAAGACTGATGAGTGATACTTATTTTTGCATAGTGCCTGTTATGTTGTCCCAAAACCAGGAAGGCACTGACTGCTAGGTTCTCAGCAGTCTCTAATGCATTACTCTTTGCAAATATAGCTTTATTTAAACAATTTAAACAAATTAAAAACTTCTAAAAATGAGAAAAAATAACTGTAATGTACAAATTCATGGTGATTTGAAGAGGATCAGATCCTGCTTTAATTTACTCACAATTTTTCAGTACCTTTTCATTATCCTGGTTGTGTTTACTCATTGGTGATGTTGGTACATAAAGATCAGTTTCATCAGTTACTACATACTGTCTCCCAGAAAGAAAATCGCGTAGCTGACTCTGTAGAAAAGAAAGGAGGTTACTAATAAGGTGCTGTGACAACTATTAAAAATATTTCACACCAAGCTGTACATAATAACCCATTTCTCTATCATTATTTAAAAGTGATAGGGGCTCAGTGGGTTAAAGCCTCTGCCTTCGGCTCAGATCATGATCCCAGGGTCCTGGGATCCCCTCATCTGGCTCTCTGCTCAGCAGGGAGCCTGCCTCCTCCTCTCTCTGTCTGCCTCTCTGCCTACTTGTGATCTCTGTCAAATAAATAAATAAATGAATCTAAAATAAAATAAAAGTGATAATGCCAGCTACTTACCCCCCCAAAAACTACAATATTTAGTCATTTTAATTTTAAACTAATATCAGAATTTCCTTTAGTATAAGCCTTCCATTAAGTATAGGCTTCCATAGCACACATGTTCCCAGTCCACTCTTACCATTTTAACTAGACACACATACACTCCAAGTTTCATTGCTCACTACCATCTTCTCTTGGATAGGTACCTGCTCTCCAATTCATCTGTTTAATTATTACAGTCTTTGAATGGGCAAATTCTTCACTTGAAGTATGAAGATGACATTCTTCAAATTTTTGCAACCCTCGCAGATCCTTTCTTTAACTTAGCTGGTAAGTGATATCTTGTTGAGGATGAGATTCTTAGGTCACTGTCCTCTTCTTTCAGGACGTGCTATTTCATTGTTGTTCTTTTTAAATGACTTGTTCTTTCCACCAGGAAACTTATAATATTTATCTTTATCCTTTAGAGTTTGGAAACTTTACCAGGATATGCTTAGGTATGTGTCTTTTCTCTTCAATACAGCCTGGAACTTCATAAACACTTAACTAACAGACTCAGGGAAATTTTATTATAACAAATGTGGTTAGAATATTTTATTTAATCATGACCTCTTCTGCATCTCATCCTTTTTCTCCTCTGGAATTCCTTTCATTTGTTATGTTAAATCCTCCAGCTCCAACCTCCAAGTTTCTTAACTTTTCCTTCATAATTACTTCATCTTCATATTTTTCTCTCTGTGCCTTAAATATATATTTTTAAAGATTGTTTTTTTAAAAGATTTTATTTGAGAGAGAAAGAGACAGAGTGAGAGAGATCACGAGCAGCAGGGAGAGGGAGAAGCAAGCTCCCTGCTGAGCAGGGAACCCGACATGGGACTCAATCCCAGAATCCCAGGATCATACCCTGAGCTGAAGGCAGACGCCTAAATGAGCCACCCAGCTGCCCCTCTGCTTTAAATATTTATTATATTTGACTTTCAGAACTCTGATTTGTGCCTGAATTCATCTGTTGCACTGGGAAGACTTTTTTTTCTTCTTTTTTAAATCTAGAAAGTCTTAACGTTTAGGTGTATCCTTGAAATTCCTTAAGTACTTAACTACTTTTACGGATTCAAATTGTCATTCACCACCAAGAGCGCTATTCTGTTGGTCACATGTGCTCTGAGTTAACTCATCTTTCTGCAGGTGCTTGGACTCATTAAGTAGCTGTTGCTTTTCTTCATAGGCTGAGGCCCTGACCGTTGAGGTACCTGAAGTGAGGACAATTTTATAAGTAATATAAGTTGAAAATATCTCTACTGTTTACAAAGCATCAGTGGAAAAATAAACAGGATGCCAGTCACCTCCTTAAGCCAAGGGAAAGTCTTTTTGTGGTCTCTCAAGGATCACCAACAGTATACCCATCCATTCAGCTACTTCTTGGCTTCCTAAATCAAAGAATCCTGGCACACTCACAGAGGGTATTTGTTGACCTTCCCCAGAAAGTTCCCAGATTTCTGAGGGCTGCTAAGTTCTTCTTGAAATCTACCATTTCTTCTCCTCAACCCAGGTCTCCAGTATCCCTCAGATAATTGTTCAATTCATGAGAAAGCAAATTCTGTACCAATTGTCTCAACTTGGACTTTTAGAAATCGAGGTCTTACACGCTCCCAGATGTCCACAGGCCCTGCATGCATGTTCCCCAGGAGAGGAATTATAATGTATGAAATACACTTATATGTATTCATACATCTATAATTGTATGAAATACAATTATAATGTATGAAATAACTTGTTCAAGTTATCATGTTCCCAGAATATCCCTGTCTTACCTTTATCTTGATTCCTTGTAATTTCTGCCTTATTTAGGCTACTATAAATAAGAAACAAAGATACATAAGCATATGTATCTTTAAAGACACTTTTAGGAGCACTTGAGTGGTTTAATCAGCTAAGCATCCCACTCTTGGCATCAGCTCAGGTTATGGTTTCACAGGTTGTGTTATCAAACCCTCATTGGACTCAGCGCTCAGTAGGGGGTCTGCTTGAAGAGTCTCTCCCTCTGCCCCTCCCCACTCTCTCTCTCTAATAAATCTTTTTTAAAGACACTTTCAGCATAAATTAGGGTTATTTTAATACATTTTTGAGGAAATCAATTTAAGTATCTGCTTTTCTGCTCAGTTTTTCTTCATTGGAAATTTCCCTAGAGCAAATAAGAGTCAGAGATCAAATCTTCCATTTTAAGTGTAGAAAGATTTCAACTTCGCATGCTATCATCTCAGCAGCTTCCACTCCACTCCTGAAATTCTGCAGAACATGTTGATATTTGGAGGCACAGAACTCCCTCCAAGGTAAAGCTGTGTATCTCATACTACAGTTGATACACTTAAATGAAGAGGCTTATTAGAAGATTAGACAGGGGTGCCTGGGTGGCTCAAAAAGCTGAAAAGTGACTGCCTTTCAGCTCAGGTCATGATCCTGGAGTCCCAGGATTGAGCCCTAAATTGGGCTCCCTGCTTAGCAGGGAGTCTTCTTCTCCCTCTGACCCTCCCCCCTCTCATGCTCTCTCTCTCTCTCTCTCTCTCCCTCTTACTCTCTCTCAAATAAACATATAAAATCTTTCAAATAAAAAAAAATCTTATAGAAAACTTAGACAGCAACAAAGGATAAAGTGAAAACAATGTGCCCAAAAACCTCAGGCAGATTATACTCTTACTGGCTTATCAAAAAATTCTCTTTGTTGTTCCTACAATCCAATACTTGTGTTTGATTAGCCTCTCTAAATTAACTATATGAAAAATAGTCAAAAATAATCTCTGCAAGCAAATAAAACATAGGTAGGGAGGAATGAAGAAAAACAATCTTCCCTCACAAGTATCTTTACTATAGTGTTGTTATGTATGTGTGTCTCAGAAAGTTACGACAGGGGGCACCTGGGTGGCTCAGTCAGTTAAGCATCTGCCTTTGGTTCAGATCATGATCCTGGGGTCCTGAGACTGAACCCCAAGTCAAGCCCTTGTTGAGCCCTGTGTTGGGCTACATGCTCAGCGGGGAGCCTGCTTCTCTCTCTCCTTCTGCCCCTCCGCCCCAACTCATGCTCTCTCTAGCTCCCTCTCTCAAATAAATAAATAAAATCTTAAAAAAAAAAAGTTACAACAGGGGAAAGGGCTATAGCCCAGTAGGCCAAGACCGCAAACTGCCTGCCAATATCCACTCTCCCCTTTTTCATCAGTAACAGAGATTTTGTTTTTATTCTGGCATGTTACCCAGAAAAAAAAAGGACTATATTCTCCATCTTCCCTAACATCTTGGTGTGGCCATGTGACTAAGCTTTGCGCAAGGACATGGAAGCAAAAGAGCTATGCCTCTTTAAAATGAAAGGAGAGTGCTGTGCTCCCTTACTACTTCCTGATGCAAGGAACGCTGATATGGAATCTGGAGTTCCAACAGCTAACTTGGACCACAAATGATCTTGAGGGTAGAGGTCGAGAACTAAGATGAATAAGCAGAATGACAGAAAAATCCTAGGTATCTGATAACCACAGAGCCATCACATCAGTCCCATATGCTTACCTTAAGACTCCTTTCATAAAACAGTGAAATAAACTTCCTTTTCTTAAACAGAGGTTTCTATTACAAGGAGCCAAAACATGATTCCCGTTTCAGATACAAATATTTATAAAATATTCTAATATCTTAGAAAATATAATAAACATTTCTTCTAATTATATCTATAATTATTTAGTTATTACCACTATTTAATTACTACTTTATTGGTACTCAGTAATGTTAAGATAAATACACTTCAACACTTTAAAATAGATACATCCAAATATATTCTAAAGCAGTTTATTAATTCTAATGTAGATAAAACCAAACTATAAAGGATGGCATCCCATTAGTTTTAAAATTTATATTCAATAAAAAAATAAAGCAATGAATATGTGTATGCAAAAAAAGCAGGAACAGTATATTTATTACCCCATGTTTACTGTATCATACTATTGTCACAAAATGATACCCCATCTCAGTAATTAATATTACTAATCCATAGAAAGAGTCATATCAATCATTTATATAACATATGCCAAATGAACATATATACATTAAAACAAGAAAATAAAATATAAAAGCAATCCTTGGCATGAATTCAAAAAGAAATCATACATTTGGGACTGATCTCTTTGTTAAAATTTTTTGATCTGGTAAGAAGCTGTTCTTATATTTCAACCAAATCACAGAATTTCAGCAAAATTTACCACTGAAATATTTCTTTCCAGTAATAGCTAACTTTCAGGTAGCTAAATTTTCCATTTCTAACATGATCTGAAAAGCAAAAGCACTATCAAGTTACTATAAATGTTGATACCATAGTTTAAAATAAAAATAAATCTAGCCAAATTTTCATTTAAGACAGAATTATTTTTAAAAATACTTACAGGGGATATGTTGGCATTATTTTCACAACTAGAAATCAAAACACTACATTTTTTATAAACATCAATCAGATCTACCATATTACTATTCTTTAAGAAATCATCGTAAGTCCTCCTAATGTCCTCATAATGGTCAATCACTTCTGTATTTTCAAATGGTAGGTTCAACTTCTCATGTAGAAAGTATTTCCAGGTCAATAAGACATCACTGAGGGAAACTGTAAATTCTCCACTGTGCTGAAAAGAGACAATACCAAAAATGAAAAGATAAATTTGGGTGCCAGAATATTCATTAATTTGTAATTGAGAAGGGAAATACAAATTGAATTTTGTTATAGAAAAGTGTACATCGAATTCTTGTGGATTTGTAGAGAACATCCAAGTTCAGCTATGGAATAATTTTTAAACCAGATAGAAAAGGATTTTGATGGTTTTGTAAAATATAAACAACTATGGCAAGTTTGGGCATGAAAAAATTAGCAAATATCTAGTCTTTCTTCACTAAATTTCTTCTCAAATTCAGGGAATGGGTGGGGAATGATCTGTTCTTAAGCACTATTAATTGGGGAAAAATTTGATTCTGTTAATATTTAGCTCCTTTTAGCTCTTCTAATGTATTTTTAATCTCTTAATCAAAACTTTCAATGCCATAGTGAATTACCACATACCACACTTCCAACTGTTAGTCTTAAGACATGATCATAAAAACTAATTTTAAAAATCACATTTTATTTCATTATTGTTCCAGAAAAAGCAAAATAGCAGTGCTAAAACCTTGGGTCGGAGAAGAATTTTGATTCTTCCCTGCTCATGGACACACCAAACTATAAACAAGTGTTAAAAAGCCACAGTTTATTTCTATAAGCTGTTGGATGTTCCTATTGAGGTAAAATTGTTCTTTTTTTCTCTTCTTCAATAACAACATGATATATTAGTCAGTAGACATGCTGAAAGTTTTTTTTAATTGACTGCATTCTGCTCCCAGATATTAATAATAGTGCCCTCCTAAAAAAATGCCAGCCCTAATTCAGTAAAAAATTCTAACTACTCCTTTCCAATACAGCATGAGTAACAAATATTTTTAAGTATTCATATATAATTTTGTGAAATGTATTATGTTGCTTTTTTCCACAATTAAGTTCCCTTAATATGTTAGTAGTTTCTGATAACACCAAGATCTTTCCATCATTTGCACTGAAAGATGGGTGGATATTTAAATGGAACTATAATTCACTGGCACTAAAATTGTAACATCATCTTTAGCCAATGAAGAATAATAAAAAGAATCAGACAGAGTCAAGTAGGGGCGCCTGGGTGACTCAGTCAGTTAAGCGTCTGCCTTTGGCTCAGATCCTAGGGTCTTGGGATGGAACCCCATGTCTGGCTCCCTGTTCAGCAGGGAGCCTGCTTCTCCTTCTCCCTCTGCCACTCCCTTTGCTTGTGCTATCTCACTCTCTCAAATAAATAAATAAAATCTTAAAAAAAAAAAGAGCTGAAAACTAAACTTTCTACTTAACTGACTCTTTTAAATCTACATTTCTTTTACAAAAATCAGCTACATTTTCTAGTTACTATCTAAATTTAAGGCAATTATGTCCAAACTGCCTTAAAAATTATTAACTTTTTACTAATCCTCATGGAGACAAAGAAAATTATCCTTACTCTCCTTGGAGGGACCTATTATATCAAAATTATAAAAATTAATTATATTTCATGAAATTAATTCAATGAAAAAACAAAAAAAAACAAACAGTAACTCTCAAATCTTGAATCCATAACCCAAATGTAAGACAGATTTGTAATTTCGCAGCATTGCATCAAAAACTGTATACTTTACTTCCCAATCCCACAAAAATTACACAATAAAATTTCCAAATGGTATTTAAGTTAAACAAATCCAGCTATTTAGAGTTTCAAAACTAATTTGTCTTATCTCAAAAAATTCCTAAAACTGTTTTGATATGACATCCTTCATATGAAAAATAAATTAAAATTTTGCCTAACGTAAATGTACAATCCAGTCTTATTCGGTTGACTATAACTAGTTAAAGTAAAACCAGGCAAGCTCTTGATCTTGTGAGAAAAGGTTTTGACTAGATTAACAGTGTTTATACTGGGATTGTAAAAACATTTTAAATCCAAATAAAAATGTACTCCAGATATCAGTTTTCATGATCAGGTGCCCACCATGACAGCATATTCTATTATTCAAACCAGTAACAACTGATTCAGAGAGCTTGTGGTCAAATCAGAAAATGTTTTGCTAGGAAAACATGCCAGCTGGCTAATATCTGAAGGAAGTTCAAGATGGTCAATGCTTTAATTCTCTGATGGACATAAGAAGGATTGTATTTCATAAGAATAAAATGAGAAAAAAAACGAAGTTACATTTTTTCAGAGCACTTGTACTTTGTATATTTTGCTGAAGTTATTTTTATAATTATTCAAAAACTTAAATAAACTTCATATTTTTAACTAACTGGAATTTTTATTGTTATCAAAACAGAAAAGATAGGAGGTCTGCTTAAGAGTATTAATTGGCTATGTGACCATGAGTAAAATACTGAAAATCCTGTGAATACTTTTCCTTGGTTATAAAATGAGATTAAACAGATTAAATAACATCTGATGAATGGCAAGTGATCAAAAAATGTCATTCCTTCTCTTTTCTCATTCAAAGTAAAATAACTGTTTGTTAGGTGGGTATTAGATAAATGTAATACAATTGTAAAAACTGTTTCTTCTTATTCATTATGTCAAAGTTAGGTCATTTTCAAATCTGACAGTCAACCACAGGCTGTGGCTTTCCATGAAGTTATAAAATTAATATCTTTGTTTCATCCAATGGAACATTTGTAACGTTCTTAAGGCTATTTAAGTTCATGAAAAATAGCATTTATAATGTAATTGCCAGACGGAGTCAAACTACGAAGTCAATTCTAAGGAAAGGAAAAGCTAAAATGCTATTTGCAGCTTAATAATAAAAGTCATATATATTTGCCATGTAGTCCTCAAAGAATCTATAAATTAAATCTTTAGCAGTATAAAACTCCTAGAGGTCATCTAATTTCAGCAAAAAGACTTCCCCTCAGAAACCATGCCCAAAACCTAAAACTCAAAGGTTATTTTAATTACCTTTTCTTTATCCCAGTTAGAACAGCTAAGAAAACAAACATGCCAGTAGACAGACTAACAACTCTACCAGGTATTCACAAGTTTGTTGCTGTTGTTGTTGTTGTTTTTAAGATTTTATTTATTTATTTGACAGAGAGAGAGATCACAAGTAGGCAGAGAGGCAGGCAGAGAGAGGGGGAAGCAGGCTCACTGCTGAGCAGAGAGCCCGATGCGGGGCTCGATCCCAGGACCCTGAGACCATGACCCGAGCCGAAGGCAGAGGCTTAACCCACTGAGCCACCCAGGTGCCCCTCACAAGTTTTATTGTAGTCAAATTCAGTCGGGAGGATCATACTTTAGAGACTCGTGTTCTCAAACTTCAGAGAATGAAAAACCTAAATAGAGCTCAGAGTGAAAATATAGGTGAAGTATATATACAACAAACCCCAACTTTTTATTACCATTTACTATTTATGAATGTACTTGCAGGCATATGTGTATGTTATTTCACACTGCTGAGTGACATGTAAGTCTGCACACAGCTGGGGATGCCTGAGCTAGCTCCACATGGAAACTGAGAGTCAATCAGAACTGCAGCCCAAAAAAAAAGAACTGCAGCCCAGCATCCCTACTGCACATGTGCACACACATACACCAACTGTGAGTTGCAATTCACCTCTCCTCTTTTCTCCCACCCAGAGTCTGAACTTTCACAGTGAATTAGCAAGTAGAAAATTAACAAGCAGAAAGAGATTCTAAGTGTGTGCTACACAGACAAACCCAAAAGAAAAAATATCTTGAACTATTTCAACATATCAAAATTTTTACATGAAAACTAAATTTTCTTCAGGGTATATTTCACTTACCTTTTTGATATATTTATGTTTCAAAAATTATTCATAAACAAACAGTAGTTGATATGAACACGGTCTGCTTAATTCCAAAACAATAGCTCTCAATTACTGTAAAATAATGATTCTTAATAATTGCCTCAATTTCTCTCTTCTCATTTTTTTTTTTTTTTAAGATTTTATTTATTTATTTGACAGAGAGAGAGATCACAAGTAGGCAGAGAGGCAGGCAGAGAGAGAGGAGGATGCAGGCTCCCCGCTGAGCAGAGAGCCCGATGCGGGGCTCGATCCCAGGACCCTGGGATCATGACCTGAGCCGAAGGCAGAGGCTTTAACCCACTGAGCCACCCAGGCGCCCTCTCTTCTCATTTTCAAGTGAATGATCACCAAAGTTTAACCTTTAGCTAGTCTATTCCATTGATATAATATCCTCAAAATCTATTAATTATCTTGGGGTACCATTTCTTCAGGTTACCAAAGGAGAGTTTTTTGGGGGGGTTTTTTTGGTTGTTTTTTTTTAATGCTCAGGCAATAAAATTGGAAAGACTTAAATATGGATTGCAATGGAGAGCAAAATAAAGAAACTGTACAATCACCTTTGGGTGTCTAGCTTCCCTGACTGAGTGAACATGGTATATAAGATTGAGACTAAGATTGGCATATAAATTCTGGTAAAACAATGTACAGGAAGTATATCCGGAGAAGGTAAGTAAAATAGAACACATCAGAAGTTATCGACAAAGAGTGTTACAAAGTACATGTAGAATTCTTTTAAAGAGTAAAAAAGATATAAAAATAACTCAACAGTAAAATAAGCAAAGGATATGAATGAGCAAACAATAAAGAGGATACCTAAAGAGTCAAATAAGCATCTTAAAAGATGATTAAATGCTCTAATAATAGAAAAATTAAAATGAAATACCCTCTTTTCTCTTTTCTGGTTCTTAGATAACATCTAATATGGAGAAATATAAGAAAATGGTATATACTACAGGAGTATACTCTCCTATACTGTTGACATAATGTAAATTCTAATAACCAAGTTGAAGACAAATTGGGTAACATCAAGTCAAATTAAAAATGTATCTGTCATATGACCCCTTGTGTATAGGGCCTAGAGAAACTCTTATTCATGCACAGACATCTCATTTCAATGAAGAATTTTTTATAATACCAAAAAAATTCAAACGACCCAAAGGTGTATCAATGAATAAAGTATACCAGTCATATAAAGGATGATTGTTCCCTTTTTTTTCCCGGGACACGCGGCGGTAAAGGATGATTGTTAAAATGAATAAATTAGACCAACTTTTCTGTCTATCAGTACCTAAAGAGGTCTTGAAACAATGTTGGATAATAAAAACAAGATACAGAAAGAATGTATACCATCTGTTATAATTTTAAAACAGACATATTAACAAGGCTATCTGCCTGGCTGGATATGCAGAGAAACCCCTCCTGGCATGAAATACCTAAAACTACAAGAGAAAATAGAAAACTTTTTTAAACATGACTGAATTGTTCATAAGAAAAGGGAAATTACAAAAGGTCAAAAACAATGAACAAGTGCCAATAAGCAAATGGTGAGACCTGTATTTTACAGGTAATTACTATTCCCTGGCACTAAAGAAGCTGGTTTTTATGAACGCTGAGCATAAAGGTTAGGAAACAAAGCTAAGCATAAGAAAGATGGAAAGTCGGATCAAAAACCCCACCCCGCCTACACTGCCAAAATCAAAGGTTCTAAAGGTCAACAGTCTTGATATGTCCACTAGAAAGAAATCTGTCCAGCAAAAAGATGATGATGAAGATACTTGCCAGTGAAGAGATTTCTAAAGTAGCCCTGGTACTATGATTACCTCTCTGGATAATCTTCATTTAGGTTTTATTTTTATTCTTTTTTTTTTTTTTAATTTAAATTCAATTACCATATAGTGATTATTAGTTTCAGAGGTAGAGGTCAGTGATTCATCAGTCTTATGTAACACTCAGTGATCATTACATCACGTGCTGTCCTTACAGCCCATCACCAGTTATCCCATCCCTTTGTCACCCTCCCCTCCAGCAACCCTCAGGTTTGTTTCCTATGATTAAAAGTTTCTCATGGTCTGTCTCCCTCTCTGATTTTGTCCTGTTTTATTTTTCCCTCCCTTCCCCTATAATCCTCTGTTTCATTTCTTAAATCGCACATGAGTGAGATCATATAATTGTCTTTCTCTGATTGATTTATTTCCATTAGCATAATACACTCTACTTCCATCCACGTCATTGAAAATGGTAAGATTTCATTTTTTGATGGCTGCATAATATTCCATTGTACCTAGATATACCACTTCTTCTTTATCCATTCATTGCAGATGGACATCTGGGCTTTTTCCATAGTTTGGCTATTGTGGACATTGCTGCTATAAACATTCGAGAGCATGTGCCCCTTTGGATCACTACATTTACATCCTTCAGGAAATACTCAGTAGTGCAATCGCTGGGTCTCAGGGTAGCTCTATTTTTTTTTTTAAGATTTTATTTATATGACAGAAAGAAAGAGAGATCAAAGGTAGGCAGAGAAGCAGGCAGAGGGGGAGGGAGAAACAGGCCCTATGCTAAGCAGAAAGCCCAATGCGGGGCTCAATCCCAAGACCCTGGGATCATGACCTGAGCCTAAGGCAGAGTCTTAACCCACTGAGCCACCTAGTCACCCTGGGTAGTTCTACTTTTAACTTCTTGAGGAACCTCCATACTATTTTCCAGAGTGGCTGCACCAGCTTGCATTCCCACCAACAGTGTAGGAGGGTTCCCCTTTCTCTGCATCCTCGCCAACATCTGTCATTTACTAGCTTGTTAATTTTAGACATTCTGACTAGTATGGGGTGGTATCTCACGGTTGATCTAGTGAGGGGTGGAGATCACGGTTGATCTCAAATCATCTCAGGTTTTGATTTGTTATTTCCCTGATGCCAAGTGATGTGGAGCACTTTTTCATGTGTCTGTTGGCCATTTGGATGTCTTCTTTGCCAAAACGTCTGTTCATGTCTTCTGCCCATTTCTTTTTTTTTCTTTTTGTATCTCCTTCCAGTATTTTAATGTGAGGATAGCGTTAAAAGCATAACGATAATAAACCAACACAAACAACAAAAAGAGAATGTGGTGCATAAACAATGAATTTTGGATCACTGAAAAAATAAAAAATAAAAAAAAAGAGACCAAAAATGTGTGTAGGCATTATTCAAGAGTGAGTTAAAATTCTTTTTATTTTATTTTTTTCAGTGTTCCAAGATTCATTGTTTATGCACCATACCCAGTGCTCCATGCAATGCGTGCCCTCCTTAATACCCAGCACCAGGCTCTCTCCACACCCCCCCACCCTCCCTCCCATCCAAAACCCTCAGTCTGTTTCTCAGAGTCCACAGTCTCTCATAGTTCATCTCCCCCTCCGATTTCCCCGAACTCACTTCTCCTCTCCTTCACCCAATGTCCTCCATGTTATTCCTTATGCTTCACAAGTAAGTGAAACTACATGATAATTGACTCTCTCTGCTTGACTTATGTCACTCAGCACATTCTGCCCATTTCTTGGTTGGATTATTTGTTCTTTGGGTGTTGAGTTTAGTAAGTTCTTTATAGATTTGGGATACTAGTCCTTTATCTGATAAGACATTTGTCAATATCTTCTCCCATTCTGTTGGTTGTGTTTTGGTTTTGTCGACTATTTCCTTTGCTGTACAGAAGCTTTTCACCTTGATGAAGTCCCAGTAGTTGATTTAAAAAAATTTTTTAAATTGTTTTTTTAAATTTCTTTTCAGTGTTCCAGAATTCATTTTTTATGCACCACACCCAGTGCTCCATGCAATATGTGCCCTCCATAATACCCATCACCAGGCTTATCGAACCCTTCATCCCTTCCCCACCAAAATCCTCAGTTTGTTTCTTAGAGTCTGCAGTCTCTCATGGTTTGTCTCCACCTCTGATTTCCCCAACTCACTTCTCCTCCACATCTCCCAATAGTTCATTTTTGGCCTTGCTTCCTTGGCCTTTGGCGATGTGTCTATGAAGAAATTACCGTGACTGAGGTCACAGAGGTTGCTGCCTGTGTTCTCCTCAATGATTTTGATGGATTCCTGTCTCACATTGAGGTCTTTCAACCATTTGAGTCTATTTTCTTGTGTGGTATAGGAAAATGGTCCACTTTCATTCTTCTACATTTGGCTGTCCAATTTTCCCATTACCCTTTGTTGAAGAGACTCCTTTTTCCATTGGACATTCTTTCCTGCTTTGTTTAAGATTAGTTGACCACAGAGTTGAGGATCCATTTCTGGGTTCTCTCTTCTGTTCCATTGATCTATGTTTCTGTTTTTGTGCCACTGTCTTGATGACTATAACTTTGTAATAGAGCTTGAAGTCCAGAATTGTGATGCCACCTGCTTTGCTTTTCTTTTTCAACATTTCTTGGCTATTTGGGGTCTTTCCTGGTTCCATACAAATTTTAGGATTATTTGTTTCAGCTCTGTCAAAAATGTCGACGGTATTTTTTAGGGATTGTATTGGATGTATAGATATCTCTAGGTAGCATAGACATTTTCACAATATTTGTTCTTCCAATTCATGAGCATGGAATATTTTTCCATTTTTTTTGTGTCTTTCTCAATTTCTTATGGGAGTGTTCTATAGTTTTCTGAGTACAGATCCTTTGCCTCTTTGGTTAGGTTTATTCCTAGATATCTTATGGCTTTTAGTGCAATTTTTTAAAAGATTTTATTTATTTATCTGACAGAGAGAGACACAGTGAGAGAGGGAAGGTGGGGGGGGTGGGAGAAGGAGAAGCAGGCTTCCCACTGAGCAAGGACTCCGACATGGAGCTCAATCCTAGGACCCCAGGACCACGACCCAAGCCTTAGGCAGACACCCAATGACTGAGCACCCCAGATGCCTCTTTAAGTTGGTATTGGTTGTCAGCTGGAGTGACTTGGCTCTCTTTTATATGGCCTTTCCAGTAAGTGAAGTTGGACTTTTTCATATGGTAGTCTAGAGTAACAAGAGACTAAGAACTAAAGCTGCAAAGCCATATGTCAGGAGGCCCGCCACCAAAACCACCTCCAGGTTGGATGTTAAGAAGACTTAAAGGACTCAGCATGTAGTTGTGCTAACACCTATAATTTATTATAGCAAAAAGATGCTAAACAAAATCAGGAAAGAGAGAAGCTATATGGAAGAAGGTGCATGGGGCGAAGTCCTGGGGTGATCAGGCATATAAGCTTCCTAAAGTCCTCTTTTAGTGAAGTCACACAAGACATGCTTAAATCCTCCAACAACAAATTGTGACAGCCCATATAATATGATTGTCTGTCAGGGAAGATCTTTAGAGACTCAATGTCCAGGGTACTGACGTAGATATCTCAGTCTATGTTGTAAAATCCAGACTCAGAAGAAAAGCATGTATTCAGCATAAACTGTATTATTTATATAGTTTAGGCACAGTGAGCCACTCATACTGGAAACCCTCCTGAATTCCAAGTTCCCAGGTGCAGCCAAGAGCCAGCCTTGTAAGCAGTCCTTTCAAAAATAGACATTAGGCCTGCTGCATTAACTCTTCTGCATGGGCCTTTTGAGCTCTGGGCTCGGACCCCCATGATGTCATTCTTCCATATTCAGTTGGTCAAATCAAGTTACTAGACTGATCCATATTTAAGGGGTGGAAAAATAGACTGTTTCTTTTAGGACAATATAGGGATGGGAGGAAACTGATTTTTTTTTTTTTTTTTTGGCAATCTACCACACATATTACCATCTAAAAACAAATGTTTTGAAAATACAGCTTTAATTAGCTATGTCTGTGTCTATAATTATAAGTTTACAGAATTTGCATATCTGTTTTGTATGAATTTTCAGATTGGAGGTTGGATTTTGTTATTTCAAAAGATTTGGCTTAAGAAAACTAAAGGAGAGGAAAATATGATTGAGCAGAAATTGTATTGTTCTGTTTTCCTTAATTTAATTAAAGGCAATCTTAGTAAATATGAAAGGACCTCTAGTTCACTACTTATTTTTCTCTAACTCTGCTTTCTTACACATGTTAAATATTACTTTCCAATTAAAATAAAGCTTTTTAACATTGCATTCTGTTCTGCTTTCAGAGGATGGCTGAGCTTAATCAGAAGTCTGTCTTGGATATGATTAAAGAGTTCAGGAGGAATTGGCACACTCTTTGTACCTCTGAGAGAACTACTGTATGTGGTGCAGACTCCATGCTCCTGGCATTGCAGCTTTCCATAGCAGAGAACAACAAACAGGTTAGTAGACTATATTTAGGTTTACTTTTTTTTTTTAAGTGAATGTTGGTAGCTGCTTATTTTAATTATATTAATTTCTTTGTAGTATATGCTCTCCTATGATAATATCAATACATGATTTTCAAAAATGCATCTGCATGTCTGTGTCAAAATATTACTGTTGGATTTGAAATAACTTGCTTCAAAATTAAGTCTATTCATATGGATAGTATAATGTAGGATGTGTACATTCCATGTTTAATGTGAAGTCTTAAGATAAACATGCAACTGTTATTATGGTTAAAAGTATTTTTATTTATGATTTTTCTTCTTTAAAAAGTTCTAGAAGGCACACATAAATAGTGTTCATTTTAATATAGCCAAAGTATTTTATGACTAATTTCAGACTTTATGGTATAGATTGATTATTCCTAAGCCAGGTTAAGAATCAGAATCACTTGGGAGGGTTTTTTTAAACAATACTAGCTTCTGTGCTTCAGTCTTGGAAATTCTGATTCTCCTAACCTGCACTGAGGCTCTGGAAATTGTCTCTTTAAAATCTTTTCTTAATCTGATCCTTACATAGTTGGCTTGTACAAAACTCATTTTTGGAATGAGCCGTACATAAAGGGCTTAAGGTGTTCAGATGAGAGAAGGATGAATATTGGCTGGAGTGGTAAGAAAATGACTTAAACACATTGGATTTCGGGTAGTATACTTAAAAGAAGTCTTTGGATGGGAAGGTTTTAAGGAAGGGATGAAGGAAGAGAAAAATCAGTTAAGAAGCATCCAGGGGGATCAAAGTCTTGACAGTTTGAAGATAATGAGATTCTCTTGACCAGAGAAGATATTTGAAGTGTGGAATAGTTTCAGTAGGTCTATTGGGCTAGATAGTGAAATGACATTCTGATGAATTATTTTAATCCTATATGTCAGTAGTTCCCATATATTTAGATTTCATATACCAATAAAATTTTCAAAAAAAATTAGACTGACAGATTTAAACATTTCTCATGTTGGCAAATGAGGTCATTGAGAAAAAAATAGTTACTAGAACCATAATTTTGAAAAAGAAAGAGAATTTTAATGCCTAAAAATTAGGAATTGTATAATCTTAAAATAAGAGATAGTCTTTACTGGGACGCCTGGGTGGCTCAGTTGGTTAAGCAGCTGCCTTCGGCTCAGGTCATGATCCCGGTGTCCTGGGATCGAGTCCCACATCGGGCTCCTTGCTCTGCAGGGAGCCTGCTTCTCCCTCTGCCTCTACCTGCCATTCTGTCTGCCTATGCTCGCTCTCTCTCCCTCTCTCTCTCTCTCTCTCTCTCTGATAAATAAATAAAATCTTTAAAAAAAAAAAGAGACAGTCTTTACTACATATGGGAATTAGCAATTTTGCATGTTTAAAACAGTATATATTAAAATAAATTTTGAACATAGATCTTGATAAAATTCTATTTTATATAGTCATTCTTTTAACAAATATTTGAATTTTTACTATGTGCTAGACATTATTCTAAACATTCTGAGGGGAATCTCTGCTTTTATGGCACTAATCTGGTGAGGAGAGGCAGATAATACTCTAATAAATAAGATATTTAGTATTTTAGGTCATAAATACTACAGAGAAAAATTAAGAGATATAGTGAAGGATTGTATAGAGCTTGGGGTGGAAGAGTACTTGTAACTTGAAATAGGATGGTCAAAGAAGGCCTCATCTACAAGTTGCCATTTGAGCAAAGATTTAAAGAGGCAAAGAAGGAACTAGTTATGGGAGTGTTTGTGGGAAGGGATTATGAGCAAAGGGTACAGCTGTTGCAAGGGCCCTGAGGTGGGAATAGGCCTGGCATGTTCAAGGAACAGCAAAGAGGCCCATATAGCTGTTTATACATATGTTAAATGTTAATTTCTTCCTTTTTTCTCTCCCTTCCGGAGATATTTTTTCTCTTCTTTTCTTTTTTCTTCTCTTCTCTTATCCTTTCTTTTCTTTTGTTCCAGGCATTTCTCTCCTTTGTTCCAAGCATTGTGATAAGTGTTGGGGTTAAAATGGTAAACAAAACCAGACATGGCTCCTGCCTGGCTTATTGCTTGGTGAGGGAGGTAGATATTTAGTAGAGAAAAATACAAATGAATGCAAAATTATAGCCGTGAGAAGAGGTATATAATGCCATGAGACCAAGGAGTTGACTTGGTTGGAGAAATCAAGCTGAACTGTAAAGGGAGGAGAGGAGTTAAGTAGGCAAAGGGTTGGAGGCAAGATGATGAGGGTGAAAGAACAGCATATGCAGTGGCCCTGGGCAGGAAACTGCCAAGAGATTTGAGAAAATGCCAAAGAACCAGTGTAGCTGAAGGGTGGTGGTGGTGGTTACGTGTCCCACTTGTCTGTTTCTTGTTTTTAATCATAGTGATGATTAAAAATCAATTTTATATAGGTACATTGGCGGAAAAAAAAATGTAAATCACACTTTTTGGACTTCGTGTTTAAAAAAAAGTTAAACTTCCAGAAAAGTCACAAGAATAGTACACTGAATTCCTTCATGCCCTTCACTTAATTCACCAATTTATATTTTGCCACCTTTGCATTATTTCTTTAATATTTTTATATGTCTACATAATATAAATCCATAAATATACCCAAGTATGTATTGTACACATGCATACGTATTATTCATATTACTCTGTATGAACAATTTGATTGTAAGTAGTGGACATCCTGAGTCTTTATCCTTAGACACTCTTGGTATTGTACATTCTGTGGGTTTTGACAAATATATAAGATATATATGCACCTTTATAGTATTTACAGAATTGTTTCACTGCCCTCAAAATCCTCTCTGCTCCACCTATTTATTCTTCCCTCTCACCAACCCCTGCCAACCACTGATTTTTTTAATTGTCAGCATTGTTTTGCCTTTTTTTCAGAATGTCATGTAGTTGGAATTGTAAAGTATATAGCCTTTTCAGGTTGGCTTCTTTCACTTTCTTCCAGATGCATTTATGGTTCCTCCATGTCTGTCTTTTCAGCAGTGAGTAATATTCCTCTCTATGGATGTATCAGTTTATCCATTTACCTTTTACATTTCTTCCAAACAATATTCAATAAGATATTCAATATTTAATGCTTTTTAGTTTAATAATTATTGGATTTTCTGTTATCTTTTCTTTAAAGATTTTATTTTTAGGTAATTTCTACACCCAATATGTACTTACAACCCAGAGATTAAGAATCACATGCTCTGTTGACTGGGCCAGTCATGCACCCCTGTTATCATCTATCCTCTTTATTTCCAAGAGCTCTTGTTCTCTCTTTTTGAAATACCATAGTCTTCTTGCCTCAAGTGTATATATTTCTCAGTTGAGACTATTAATGATTATTTTGAGGTTTTCTTCTTGCATAATCTTTACCCAAGTTTCTTGTTTTATTAGTCTTATTATTCTTCCAACAGAGACTTTTTTCATGATGATCCTTGACCATGCACTTATATTTAAGTGGATCACTAAAATGCTTACTGGAAACTCTGTTTGGAGGGTTAGGGGTTGTTAGTCTGATCTGACTGGGCCATTTGGCTGGGAAATATCTGATGCCCACCTTTAGGATATCCCTTTTAAAACAGTTTCTTCAGAAAAGAGTCTTTACACAAATGGTGTAAATTTGAGCTGTCAATGTGTTGGGTGCTTGAAAGAAGTATCAGTACTTAGAATATAAAAGGTCATGTGATTCCTGTTGTTTTCTTTGGGTACTCTTGTTTTCACCTGCACTCTTCGGTCCAGAAATTCTGTTTTATCCTCTCCAGGGAATAAATCCCAGTTTTCTTCCGAAGTGGTTGACTGTTTGCCCCTTTCTCAACAGAAATTAATTCATTAGGCAACAGTCTAAATGAATATACACTAACAGTGAACAGAAGAAAGAGAAATTAAGGAGTTGATCCCATTTACAATTACAACAAAAGCCATAAGATACCTAGGAATAAACCTAACCAAAGAGGCAAAGGATCTGTACTCAGAAAATTATAGAACACACCCATAAGAAATTGAGGAAGACACAAAAAAATGGGAAAATGTTCTATGCTCATGAATTGGAAGGACAAATATTGTGAAAATGTCTATGCTACCTAGAGATATCTATACATCCAGTACAATCCCTAACAAAATACCATCGGCATTTTTGACAGAGCTGAAACAAATAATCCTAAAATTTGTATGGAACCAGGAAAGACCCCAAATAGCCAAGAAATGTTGAAAAAGAAAAGCAAAGCAGGTGGCATCACAATTCTGGACTTCAAGCTCTATTACAAAGCTATAGTCATCAAGACAGTGGCACAAAAACAGAAACATAGATCAGTGGAACAGAAGGGAGAACCCAG